CTGCAGCTGAAAAACAGTGAGAGGGAGAGAAGAAGAATCCAGCTTGCAGATGCTGCAGAAAGAGCCATACAGGGGATTGGTTCCAGTAATTGCCCCCCCCCCCCACTGTGCTGTTGCTCACCCTCCCTGCCCACATCCGATTCACCCAGCTGCCTGGGCCCCCTTGATGGCCTAAGCCCCGTACAGGTGGATTGGTGGTACCCCCTTATCCACAGTCCTGGTGAGGGCAAGCAGTACAGGGGAGGCAGCTGTTGCTCGTGCAGGCAGTACAGCAGGGGTGGTTACTAGTGGGTAAACTAGCAGTATGGCAGATAAATTAGAAATAACAATACAAAAAGAAATTCACCCCTCTATGGGCTGTATGTGAATATCCTTTGAGCTGCACCTACAAGTGGAATAGTGATTCCTTAACCAAATCCTCTGTGTATGCAGTGAGTGAAGAGTGAGCCCCTGAGGTTTGGGGCCCATGTGCACTGTACTTACTGCACATATTAGGAATATGCCACTGAATATGGGTAATATTCCTCATTATGCACAAAAACAGTCTAATTTCCTTTTGACATGTTTCCACATTCAGTTTAGTGTAGGAAACTATTAAAATGATGTTGTGGAAAATGTGTTATCTAGCCTGATTTGATCTGAATCCTAAGAATTCTGGATACAAGCTAGAAGCATTTTAAGACGGCTTTATGTATAAGTACACTTGCACTTAGCACTTTATTAAATTTCATTTAAGGGCTTGTATTTGTTCTTTAAATGTGTTTCCAATACATTTGATAAATGAGCTTTTCGGATGTGTAGAGTGACCTCTGCTGCTATAGAACTGATAGTACAGCAGGAGCACTGTTGCAAAGCCAAGTACCGCATGAAACTCTTTACTGCATTTACCGACATTCCATTATCCCCAAGACCAATCCCATAAAACAGAAAGCCATAAAAATGTTTGTTCTTTGAAATGTCCCTGTATTTTATTAATGTCTAACGAACTTGACAGATACAACCAATGTTCTCTGGATGTTATAACCCAATGTTTAATGGATAATCATGTTGTTAAGTTGACAGTAGTTTGAAAAAACAGCCATAAATATATATGAATGAAAAAAAAATATTTTATTAGTTTTTAAGAATCCAGAGGTCCTCTGCTTAAATAGCCTTGTTCAATAAGGGGTTCTTTATTCTTAAATGAAGTTAGCAATAGAAACCCCATTGGAATTCACACTGTGACTGGCACAGGGTGGATTTGATTGACTACTGATTACATTTCTACTACAGCAGGATATGCAATCACACTCCTCCTATGACCTCATATCTTGTTAAATAAAATCCATGCAGCAAATAGCTTCTGATATCTCACAGTTAAAGTTGCAGTTACATGTAAAAAGTCAGTGATGGATCATCTACCTGAGTTTCCTGAGGGCGCAATCCTTTAAATAGTGGCAAAAAAAAAAAAAAAAAAAGTTGCATCAGTGGAAAGCAAACCTGAGCTCATGGGCTTGCAGTGGTCTATCACCAAGCGAGAGATCTCTAACTTAGAAATATGGTGGATTTATACTTTAAAATCTTACATGCCCCATGGTCTCAATATTGAGTGGTATGTCAACGCATTCATTAATAATGGTTAGTCTTTTCCTATATATTTATATTATTATTTTGGGCTACTTATAATTTATGATTTTTATATATTTTATTGTCATATACATTTTTTTTTATCCTTATTCTCATGTTTACGTTTATTTTGTATCCTTTATTTTTATTTTTAAAATGCAATATATCCTCTTGCCTTTTTATAATATTTTTGAATGGTTAAGCTGCTATATGCTAGATGGCGCCACGGCCAGTACTGCTATGTCCGGTTTGTTTTAGTAGTGTACTTCTTTTTATAATTAGTTCTACTTATGTTTACCTGTAGAATATACAGAGGAGTCTCCCCAATTATTGATCAATTTTTTATTATTATTGTTGTCCAGTGTCCAAGTAATTCAGATTTCTGATCTGCTGGCATTGGCAAATGTGTATGAGCATGTTTGGCTTCTGTGCCAGATGCCCTTCTTCCTGTTCCGGTGCATGCTCTCATTAGATTAGGGGAGGAGATGGGCTCCCTCCTCCCTATATATAGGTGTCCCGTCTGGACACTGGTAACACCCCTGAAGACGTCACTGATGATGAAACGCGTTGGGAGGAGCCAGAACACGTGAAGTCAGCACATACCGGAACGTGGCAGCCATCTTATGAGTTTGAAACATACCATTGGGATATATGGTGACAAGCTGTTTTTACTTTTTCTTTGATGTACGTTCAATACCATGTTTTAAGGCAATAAATCCTTTTGAATATACTACACTATGAGGATTTTCTTGCTTTTTTGAATGATATTGTCCTCTATGAGGATAATTTATTTTTACAGGTCCATCTTTAGCCTTATGCTCGGATTACCAGTTGACAGCCAATGTCTTGATTATGGCAATCATTTGCAAGTGATCCAGCAGGCATTTCCTCCATTCAACACCTGGGGGTCAGTTTGTCCTTTTGGAGCCAAAAAGTGTTCGAGGTAGTGTGCTTTTTGACCCATACTCAATTAGGGGTCATTATGGTCTGGTAAGAGACAGAAGAATTTTTTTGGGGTGTTGGTGATGGTGGACTCTCCCAACTTGTTGGAACTTTTTATTTTGGAATTTATATGACATCATTACCAGGGGCAGACTGACAACTCATGGGGCCCCCAGGCAATGGAAGATCATGGGGCCCCTGTGCCCTTGCCCAAACTCAAAAAAGCCTATGAAAAAAGTACCAGGGGCATCTCATGGGGTCCCCTACTGACCCCGGGCCCTCAGGCAGTGCCCGAGTTTCCAAATGGTCAGTCCGCCCCTGCTCAATACTATTCTAGTAAAGAGGCATCTAACTCTATCTATACCGGATACCATTGGACTTTAATTTTATATATTCTATTTATTTTGTTGTGATTATCCGAAGAGCCGCACTTTTGTGTTTTAGTGGTCTATCACTGACTTTGATTTAAAATATACCTTAAAGTATATGTAGCCTTCACCTTGTAAAACAACCCATTCAATTTAAAATAGAAGTGGTTATACATATAAAAAGAGTTATAAATATATTTTCTTTACCCTTTTTAGAAACGATCACATACCCCCTGTTTTCAGCTGCATAACGAGCTCAGGGGAGAGACAGCAGCACACTGATCTTCCCATTGAATGACTGTGCGGGGAGGGAAAGCATATCAGGACAAGCCTGACCATTGGAGGACTGAGTTCCCAGCATAGCAAGGGAACTGACTACACTGTGCTCTCATGCCTAGTGTGGTCAGTTTTTAAATAAGACAGCAGAGGGACTGGTAGGAACACCAAGGATTTCACATGAAGGAAGCAATTTAAAGAAAATATATCAGGAATATCAAATATTGGGGTTACATATTCTTTAAAGTGTTTGTAAAGGCTGAAGGTTTTTTTACCCTTATGCTTTCTATGCATGAAGGTAAAAACCTTCTGTGGTGTGCTCTCCCCTAGCCCCCCTCCAAATACTTACCTGAGCCCCATCTCAATCAAGCGATGTGCCCAAGATAGTGAGTATGGAGCTGGGAGCAGGGTCAAGTCACGCTCTGTGTGTCTTATGGCACTCAGTGGGGGGATGGGCCAGTTGTGTCAGCGGGAAACCCAGGAAGAGGAGGACCGGGGGGCTGCTCTTTGCAAAACCATTGCACAGAGCAGGTAAGTATGATATAGTATAAAGTTTCTTACTTTTTAAAAATAAAATGTTTGCCTTTAATATTGCCCTAGGCACCAAAGGGTCTGGTATGGATCTGGGGGGGGGGGGGGGGGGGGGGGGGCATGCCATTTTTAAAATAAATTTTGGCCTGGGGTTCCCCTTAGAATAATTCTTCTATTGGAGGTTCTTACCAGACCCAAAAAGCTGCTGTTTTTTTTCTCAAGTTGTGATTGTTGGCAATTCTTTTGTTTACATTTAGCAATTAGTAGGGAACCCTGCTGACAGCTGATGAGTCATCCATTGCAGGGGCGGGGCGGACTGACAACCAACTCATGGGGCCCCCCTGGGCAATAGGGATCATGGGGCCCCCTACTGACGCTGGGCCCTCGGGCAGTGCCCGAGTTTCCAAATGGTCAGTCCGCCTCTGATCCATTGTTAAGGATGTGGTGGCCAGCTTGTTTTAGGAGCATTTAGGAGCATTCAGGAGTGCCCAGTGGTTTTTTTAGGCTGGCAAATCACTCACAAAAAAGCAAACAGGTTTTTTTCTGCTCCTAAATGCTGAAGTTTAAAAAATGCTTTTAGACCAAAATAGTGTGCATGGACACGTAGGAAAACACTATTTGCTTCTAGAGGCAGAAAAAAAAAAAATATTCAAAAGCTGCTGCTGGGAATGATTCTGGCCATGGACATCGGGACATCGGGACATCATACATTTGGGACACCAGTGGAATACAAAGGGTCACACTAATAAACATGATGGAACAGAAAAAAATTATTAGTTTAGGGTTACTAAGGGGGATTTATATAGGAATCGATTTACTTAAAGCAAAATAGGCCATTCACTTTGCAAGGGAAATTGCACTTTGCATGGGAAATCTCCCTTACCTTAGTGAATGTGGTGAGATTTCATTTTCAAAGAATACACAATCACATGCAAGGAAAACTAAAAGAACAGTATTTTTGCTTGCTCATGATTGCAGAATGAAAGTTAGCAGAGTTTCACCTCATTCTCTAAGCTCTGGGGAAGTTCCGACACAAATTTCAACTTTCCTTGCAATGTGAACAGTCAATTTGCCTTTAGTGAATCAACCCACTGAGTGAGGAATGGATGAAATAGGGTTGTTTTTTAATAGGAAGATTAGAAATGTTTGTAGAATATGTATGTATAAAATATAAGATCTATTTACATATTATTTTTTTTTTAATTCTGCTTAACCACTTCCTATCCGGCCCATGTACATAAACGGTCGGACGGGAGCAGTGCAGGAGTGGGTGGCCATTTATAAACGTCCTCCCTGCCTGCACGCGCTCCCTGGGAGTACGGGACCTCTGTGTGAGGTCCCGATCATGTGATCACTGATTGGCAATCAGTAATCACATGAATAGTAGTAAGCACTTCCTGACATCATTGCTTACTACTAGTGAAATCTTTGAAAGATCACAGATGTCACATGGTACAAGGCTATTCACAACAGCCTTGTACCATGTGACAAGCTGTGACCAATCACAGCTTGCACAGTATTTCTCCATGGCTGCAAGAATGCAGCCAGAGAGAAGGAGAAATGATTGCTTATACAGCCTTTATGGGTGTAAAAGCAATCAATCAGTGTAAAAAAAAAAATCTTCATCACAAGTAGCACAGTGTCACCTATGGTGATACTGTACTGCTAGGGTGACAGTATGTTCAAAAACACCCAAAAAAAACATAAATAATAATATAAAAAAATAAAATTAAAATTAAAAAATTTTTTTTGAGAAATTAAAATTTTTGGTTATAAACTAATTTGGGTTATTTTTTTTTTACTAAAAAGATAGCTGAATACATTTTGGCCAAGATTTATAAAGAAAGATTATTTATTTGCAAAATTTTATAAGAAAAATACTTTTTTTTTCAAAATGTTTGGCCTTTTTCATTTATATAGCAAAAAAATAAAAAAATCCCAGCGGTGAATAAATACCACCAAAATAAGTTTTTATATGTCTCATAAAAATGCTAAAAAATTCATATGGGTACAGTGTTGCCGCGCAATTGTCATTCAAAGTGTGATCGCACTGAAAGCTGAAAATTGGCCTGAGCAGGAAGGGGGTGAAAGAGTCCAGACTTGAAATGGCTAAAGTGGAGCTACCGTCTGCTGTGAAAAAAAAAATTATCAGCTACAAAAACCGTAGCTGCTGACTTTTAAAAAACACTCACCTGTCCCTTGATCCCGTGGTGTGCTCACCCCAGCCGAGTTCACTGGCTGTCCCCTGTCCCTGGTGCATCTTAACTGTGTGAGCTGTGACAACTTGCTACTTCACAGATGGGTGCAGCGCTGCGCATTGTGAATGCTCCTGTGTCATGTGTCCCAGAAGTCTGAGTGGGGTGGAGGGTGGTATGAACTTCTGATTGTCTAGGCTGTGGGACTGGAAGTGGGAGCGGGTACCTGTCAAAATCGGGTACCCGCCCTCCAAGGGTGCTGAATCTTAACTGGGAGCAGAGGGACGAGTCCTTAAAGCGGAACTTCCCTTTTTAAGTGGAGCTGCCCTTTAAAGTATCTTTAGTCTCATGTTTAAAAATGAATGTTAGAGTTATAAAGAATACAATGGAACATAATTAAACTGCCCAGGGGAACATTGCACTTTTGAATATTTATAAAAAAAAAAATAAAAGTAGTTCCTCCGTCACCGTGCTCCTTGATCCTTAGAATATTGATATCATCGTGTATAATTTCAAACACCATTTCTGGAAAGTCTGTTATCCAGTAGATGGTGCTACAGTTCCAACAAAGTTCATAATAACCAGGCCTGTTCAAAACCTGCATAATCATTTATTTAAGAAAGGATGCACTTTGAGAATTCACTTACAGAATTAGGTGCTGCTGAATATATTTGTAACGGTGAGAAAAAACACTTTCGGCTACATAAATGTGTAAAATAATAACAGCTGGTACCCCTAAAATATGCTTTCTGGATGTTAAAAAACAATGATGCCTTATGTCTTTGCCTGCTTAAACAGCTCTGTGCCCCCTTTAAACAATCAGTAACCAGTTATACTTGGTACACCCGGAAACCTTTAGGTATGCAACCATTGGTGTGCAAAGGACCACCCTTTTGATAGAATCAGCTTTGTTTACACAGAACCTGCGCAGGTTTGAATATTATTAATTTGCAGGATTTATAGAGCACCAACAGTTTACGCAGTGCTTTACAACATAAGGGAAGACAGTACAATTACAATCCAAATTAATACAGGAGGATTCAGACGGCCCTGCTCGTTAGAGCTTACAATCTAAGAGGGAGGGTCAAGAGACACAAAAGGTAATAACTGTGGGGGATGGGCTGCTGGACAAAATACATGTACAGCTGTTAGGTGAGGGCAGGATAGGCCTCTCTGAAGAGATGAGTTTTCAGAAATCGTCTAAAAGTGGACAAGAGATTGAGATAGCCTTACACATTAGGGAAGGGAGTTCCAGAAGATGGGAGTGGCTCTGGATAAATCCTGGAGGCAAGCATGGGAGGAGGTGAGAAGGGAGCTAGAGAGCAGGAGGTCTTGGGAGGAATGAAGAGAATGATTTGGTTGGTATTTTGAGACCAGGTTAGTGATGTAGCTGGGGGAGAGTTGTGGTTAGCTTTATAAGTTGTTGTAAGTATCTTGACTTTTATTTGTTAGGTGAGTGGGAGCCAGTGGAGGTTGGTAAGCTGGATGAGTCTGGCAGCAGCATTGATGATGACTGGAGGAGGGATAGCCTATGCAAAGGCAAGCCAGTGAGGAGGGAGTTGCAGTAGTCAATGCGGGAGAAGACCAGGGAGTGAATTAGAAGCCTTGTGGTGTCATTGGTTAGGAAGGGGCGTATCTTGGAGAAGTTGTGGAGGTTGAGGCAGCAAGCTTTGGACAGCGATTGGATGTGGGGCCGAAAGGATAGTTCAGAGTCCAGGATTACACCTAGCTCCCTGGCATGTGGCATGTGGGAACGGGTTGATGGTTGAGCTGTTGATTTTGACAGATAAGTCAGGATGGAAATATTATGAGCTCAGTTTTGGATAGATTAATTTTCAGGAAGTGGTGTGTCATCCAGGCTGATATGTCTGATTGTAGATTAGTGATGCATGAGGAGACTGATGGAGTAAGCTGAGACGTGGAGAGATAGATTTGGGTGTCATCAGCATAGAAATGTTATTGAAAGCCATGGGAGGCAATCAAATGACCCAGAGAGGAGGTGTAGATTGAGAATAGGAGGGGTCCCAGAACAGAACCTTGGGGAACCCCAACGGAGAAAGGAAGAGGAGAAGAGGAAGTAGAATTGTAAGTGATACTGAAGGTGCAGTCGGATAGTTAGGATGAGAACCGAGGAAGGAACCAGTCATGGAGACCAAAGGAGTAGAGTTTTTTGTGGAGGAGGGAGTAATCCACTGTGTCAAAGCCAGCAGAGAGGTCCAGGAGTGGGAGTACAAAATCTTGGTTTTAGCCGTTTAAAGAAAAAAAACATTGGTTTTAGCCGTTAGTAAATTGTTTGTACCCATATGGAAGAAAAATATATTTGAAATATATTTTAAAAATATTCTTCCCAAATATATTGACATATATTTGGAATGCTACAATTTTGGCCTTATTCAATATATTTCAAAATATATTTCAATAAAATATATATATATATATATATATATATATATTGTATACATACATTTCAAATATACTGTATGTCTTTAAAAATACAAATTTACATTTTGTAATGCATTTACAAATATATGTAAAAATATATGTTAAAATGACTTTTTTATATGTAAAAAAAAAATATATATTTTAAAATATATTCTTCAGATTTGTTTTTAACATATAAAAAAGTCATTTTAACATATATTTTTACATATATTTGTAAATGCATTCCAAAAAGGTAGATTTGTATTTTAAAGACATACAGTATATTTGAAATGTATTTTTAAAAATATTTTTCTTATATTTTGTAATAAAAATGCATTTCAACATACAGTATATATATATATATATATATATATATATATATATTTGAAATATATTTAATATGGCCAAAATTGTAGCATTTCAAATATATGTCAATATATTTGGGAGGAATATTTTTAAAATATATTTCAAATATATTTTTCTTCCATATGGGTAAGTTTGAGGAGAGCAGTTTCCGTGGAGTGCTGAGAGCAAAATCCAGACTGAAGGGGATCAAGAAGGTTATTCTCAGTGAGGTGGTTGCTCAGCTGGTTTTAGACCAGGCATTTAAAGTGTTTGGAGTAAACGGGGAGTAAGGAGATGGGTCGTAGGTTGTTAAGATTGGTGGGGTCTAGTGAGGGCTTTTTAAGTATGGGGGTGACTAGTGCATGTTTAAAAGAATTGGGGAAGGTGCTGGAAGAGAGGGAGGTTGAAGATATGAGTTAGGAAGTGTAAGATAGAGCCAGAGGGTGACCATAGCATTTGCGATTCAACAAGGTCCAGGGGGCACGTGGTAAGCGTGGGCATTAGAAAAAAGTTTAGCAACTATCTATACTATTGGGTTTGAATGCAGGAAGTAGTGATTGTCCCTGTGGATGTGGAGTGTTAAGTAGGGGAGGTATCTGACCGTCAGAGATCTCAGGAATGTATCAATTTTCTTTTTGAAGTGATTGGCGATCTCCTGGGCAGTGAGTGAGTTAGTGGGTAAAGGCAGTGGAGGAAGAAGAAGAGAGTTGAAGGTAGAAAAGAGTTGGGGGGGACTGGATGAGAAGGTGTTAATGAGAGTAATGAAATAGGTCTGCTTGGCAGTGTGGAGGCAGGAATAGAATTTCTGGAAGACAGATTTGGTTGAAGTAATTCTGAGACTAAGTATTACGCCATAGACACTCAAGAGTGCCGCTATGTTTTTTGAGACCTCTGGTGTCATCTGTTTGCCAAGGTTGTAGGGGTTGGGGCCTGACTGTGTGTGTAGCGAGGGGGCAAGCTTGTCTAGGGAGGATGACAGTGAACTATTGTAGACAGAAGTGGCTAGATCTGGGCAGGACAGGGATGATATTTTGTCATAGAGGTGGTCAGTAGCAGAGTAGAGAAGAGAAGGATTGAAGTGGCAAAGGTTTCTACATGTAACTGTTAGGTGGTTGGAGGGAGAGGAGGTGGGAGACAGGGAGAGAGTGAAGCTAATAAGGTGGTGATCAAAGAGCGGAAGAGGGTTTTTGGCGAGGTTGCACGGAGTGCATAGATAGAAGAATAGAAGGTCAAGGGTGTTGCCATTGGAGTGAGTAGAAGCATGTGTCCATTGTTTCAGGCCAAAAGAGGAGGCTAGACTAAGAGGTTTAGAAGTAGCAGGAGTGTTAGCATTAAAAGGGATGTTGAAG